CCCAGAGTAAGTATGAGTTCTGTCTCTCTCTTACACTACTCCTCCGTCCTAACAGCATCCTTCTCCTTCTTCGCCAACCTTATGCTTCTACACCCCTTCACGGCTATGCTGCATTTTCTCTGTCATTACTTTCATTTCATCTGCAAGTTGCAAAAAGTAAAGGGATTTTTTCAAAGTGCCCTATTGCAATTTGATCTGTACCAGGTCTCTTCCGAGATACAGCTGATTTTCGAATTATTTTTTGAATTATTTTATCGGAGAAAGTTCACTCGTTCTCTCAGAGATGGCGCCACATATCATGTCCAGGAGGTGCTGCCCTCTTATCGGCGAAAATTCGAACTAATGCGAATTCTTTAATAAGATTTACTCATTGAAATTTCGACGATGGGATTTTTAAATTGAATTCGGAATTATTTTATCGGAGAAAGTTCACTCTTTCTCTCAGAGATGGCGCCACATATCATGCCCAGGAGGTGCTGCCCTCTTATCGGCGAAAATTCGAACTAATGCGAAATCTTTAATAAGATTTACTCATTGAAATTTCGACGATGGGATTTTTAAATTGAATTCGGAATTATTTTATCGGAGAAAGTTCACTCGTTCTCTCAGAGATGGCGCCACATATCATGCCCAGGAGGTGCTGCCCTCTTATCGGCGAAAATTCGAACTAATGCGACTTCTTTAATAAAGGGGTTTCGAAGCATAAGGGAGGAGAAGGATGCTGTTAGGACGTAAAAGAATATCAACGTGTATAAGTGTTTAAAGATAATATATTCGACAAACGTAGTAATGATACAGTATACAAAGTACAGACATACATACAGCCATACAAAGTACATAATATATAAAATGCAGCTATTAGTTGAAATGTCGAAAATTCGAACTAATGCGAATTCTTTAATAAGATTTACTCATTGAAATTTCGACGATGGGATTTTTAAATTGAATTCGGAATTATTTTATCGGAGAAAGTTCACTCTTTCTCTCAGAGATGGCGCCACATATCATGCCCAGGAGGTCCTGCCCTCTTATCGGCGAAAATTCGAACTCATACGAATTCTTAAATAAAAATTGACCCACTGAAGTTTCGACGATGCGATTTTCAAATTACACTTGAAATCAGTTTATCATAGAAGGTAGTATTGATAAAGAAAAGCGAAGTCAAGATATGGATAATATGGCAGAGTTGGAACGGAAATTGGAGCACAACTAAAAAGTGGTTTCGCAGCATAAGGAAGGAGAAGGATACTGTTAGGACGGAGGAGTGTAAGAGAGTGACAGAACTCTTTCTTACTCTGGGATATTCGCATTGGGCAAAAGAATATCAACGTGTATAAGTGTTTAAAGATAATATATTCGACAAACGTAGTAATGATACAGTATACAAAGTACAGACATACATACAGCCATACAAAGTACATAATATATAAAATGCAGCTATTAGTTGAAATGTCGAAAATTCGAACTAATGCGAATTCTTTAATAAGATTTACTCATTGAAATTTCGACGATAGGATTTTTAAATTGAATTCGGAATTATTTTATCGGAGAAAGTTCACTCGTTCTCTCAGAGATGGCGCCACATATCATGCCCAGGAGGTGCTGCCCTCTTATCGGCGAAAATTCGAACTAATGCGAATTCTTTAATAAGATTTACTCATTGAAATTTCGACGATGGGATTTTTAAATTGAATTCGGAATCACGAAATCACAGACATACAAAGTACATAGTACATAGCCCGCGAAAGATTTGTAATAACAGTACCATTAAAGATATATTATAAAATATAATATAGCAGTTTTCGAGATAGAGCCTCCCAAAGGTGCAATTTCGAGTATTTTCAAAATTCAAGAATAGACTAAAGCCTATGTAACTGTATGCTTTTCAGGATAATAAATATTAAGGCAGGATGTACAGACTAAATAAGAATATCGGGTAACATAGGGCTAAGCAAATGACTAAGAGAATTAATTTTTTGTTGTAGAAGGTTGTATTGACAAAGGAAAAGCGAAGTCAGAATATGGATAATATGGCAGAGATGGAATGGAAATAATGATAGAGAAAAAGGAGGATAGCAGGAAAGGGGTGTCGAAGCATAAGGCAGGAGGAGGAGGAAAAGGATGGAAAAGCAAAAGAATATTAACGTGTATAAGTGTTTAAAGATAATTTAGTCGACAAATGCAATAATGATACAGTATACAAAGTGCAGATATACATATATAGCCCTCGAAAGATTAGTAATGTCAATGCCATTAGAGATATTAAAATATATCAGTGCAATATAATACACGTGTGGTATGTAATATGCGCTACCACTTTGGATTTTTCTTTTTCCAAAAAACATTTTAAAAACTTAGTTTTTAAGGATATACTAGGAGGAGAGTGATGGAGACATAGGAAGAAATAGGAGATTCGAAAATTCAGTAGAAACGTTTGGTGGCAGCAGACAGGGAAGATGTTAATGGAGGAAAAGAGGAAGATTGTTAAAAAGAAAGAATGAAGAAGAGAGATGCTTATGACTGAGGGAACAAGAGGAGAAGAAGTGCGTAAATCGTATATACGAAGACCAGATTATTCTGGAGGAGCGAGAAAAGAGAACAGTGGAAAAAGTCGGGAAAGTAGGAAGTATAAGGGAGCGAAATGGGCCCCACCCCGCCCATTTCCGTGAGGTCCTGCCTCTCCTGAAGGGAGCTACGACCCCTCCGAGGCCCCATAGGGGACTGTGTTTTTTTTTTGTTTTTTTATTGAGGAAAACCCCCGAGTCCTGCGGCTTTCGCGCACAGGACTAGGGGGGAAAAACCTCAGGAAGGGAAGGAAGTCGGGTCGAGGGACAAGGAAAACGCACAAGGGGGTAAAGTGAAGTTAAATGCGAAAAAGGTAAGATAAGTTAAACGTAAAAGGGATAAGTTAAACGCGAAAGGTCTACCCCTAGTCAAGATTCACCGCAACGAAAGACCGCGGGCGTAGCACCCGGCGGTACCCTTGCGGGCACGCCAGGACATCCCGAAGGACGATATTTAACGCTACAACCTCCGTCCCTTCCCACGGGCGAGCCCAGTGGGTTAGACGTAAGGAACCACGCCCGCCGCCGGCGGCGGGCCCCGTTAGCCATCGATCCACGCGCAAAATGTCTCCGACAGAGGGTGACTTTATACTAGCAGGTACTCAATAGCACCCGCACCTACCCCAAGTGAAGGAGACCCCCAAGCACAAGCACAAATAGGACTTTACCCAAAGTCAACGGACTACCCCTCCGACCTCCCCACGGACAAATAGGATCGTCTCTACCCACACAAGTGCCCAAGGGTCAACGACATGTTGGAGCGTTTTTAGCAAAGCGAACAAATGATACTAAATACGCGAGAGCTAGACACCTGGCTAGATTCACTATACGAAAGACCATGGCCGTAGATACCCTAAGGGGGCTCAAGGCCCCCGTCGGGAGACCCATAAGGTCCTGTTGCGGCCACAACTTGGGCCACCAACCACTGAGCAAGCTCAGCGGAAGAGGCGGAAGGGCAACCCCCGACACCATGGTCTTAAGTCTAGCTGCACTAACAGGGTGACTACCCTTATATGACTACTCGAATTAATATGCTCGACCCGACACGAAAGACCATGGCCGTAGATACCCTAAGGGGGCTCAAGGCCCCCGTCGGGAGACCCATAAGGTCCTGTTGCGGCCACAACTTGGGCCACCAACCACTGAGCAAGCTCAGCGGAAGAGGCGGAAGGGCAACCCCCGACACCATGGTCTTAAGTCTAGCTGCACTAACAGGGTGACTACTCTTATATGACTACTTGAATTAATATGCTCGACCCGACCAAGAGAATAGGAAAAGTAAGACAAACACAATGTAAAGTGAGAGGGAACAGAGTGAAACGAGAAGACAGAAGGGAAGATAAAAATAAAAAAGTCAAAACGTAGAAAAATAAGGAATAGAGTTATAAAAGCAGAGAAGAAATAAGGAAAGTAATAAGTAATAAAATAAGGAAGGAAGGATAAAGAAATAAATATAGAAAAAGAAAAAGGTTGAAAATCGATATGAGGGGTGTTTCCAAGATACCAGTATAGGAGACTGGCTCGAGGAAGAATAAGCGAACGAGAAGACAGAAGGGAAGATAGGAATAAAGAAGTTAAAAAGTAGAAAAGTAAGGAATAGAGTTATAAAAATAGAGAAGAAACAAGGAAAGAGATAAGTGAGAAAGTAAAGAATGAAATATAAAGAAATAAGGAACTAAAGAAGAAATAATTAAAGAAGAAGAAGAAGGTTGCAAATGGATATAGAAATAAAGAAGTGAGAATAAGATAATAAGAAAAAAATGAATATAGAAATGAAGAAGTAAAGAAGTAGAAAAGTAAGGAATAGAGTTATAAAAGTGGAAAAGAAATGAGGAAGGAGATAATAAGTAAGAAAGTGAAGAATGAAAGATAAAGAAGTAAGGAAGTAAAGAAGAAATAAATATAGAAAAAGAAGAAGGTTGGAAAAGGATAAGAGAGGTGCTTCCAAGAGACCAGTATAGGAGACCGGCTCGAGGAAGAATGAGCGCTCCGAGTCCGCGCGCTGCCTCAAGTGCTCCCCCCACCATCCGCTTGCTGCCATTCACCGAGTCCTGCGTGACGAATTTGCGCGCACACAATTTTGGGCATCTTCCAGTACTTCTAAATATGCTTGGCAAGAATTTCCGATTTCTAAGTGTTAATATTTCACTTTATTGATTTAATTAATTATTTTAATTTTATGAATTTATTTTCGATTTTCTACAACTTCAATTCAATTTTTTTCTACTCCATATGTCCTGCGAGATTTTGGTTTAGGCTCGATTGTATATTTTGAATAAATTTTGAAAGTAAATCAAAATCCAATAATATTTAGTAAAAATTGAGATGCGACATGGGTGTCAAGTTGGCACCGCACTTTCTTAAATATGTCTTAAAAACGTTTCAACAATAGGCTTATTAATAGTTCTTATGTAGTTCAGTAGCACCATGATTTTATTATCGCCTAAAACCGTAGCGTTATGCATCTCCCTACTTATCTCTGACTGCGCTGTCACTTTATGACTGGACAAAAACTGCCAAACACAGAACCATGGGACATCTCTGCTTCAAATATCACGGCGAGGAATTCCTCCCATGTCCAGGAAAATGTACAGGAAAACGTGTGAGCAGACGTGCATGAGGATGAACAGGAGATAAAGCACGGGAGAAATTCCCGGTGAATGTATGGAAAAAGGAGGAAACGTTTATTTCTCGCTCCTGTGTCCTTATCTGGTCTATTGCTAAAAGCAGTCAATCCTTACCTGCCTTCAAAGTTGGCCTAAAGTGTTAAATCCTTTAGCTTCAGGGTTCCGAGGTGTGATAGCATATCTCTTTCTACCTCTTTCTAGAAATGTAATAAAATATTACACTGAATAATGAGATGGATGCTTGTACAAAGTTTGTTTATGTTTATTTCTATTAGTTGATTTTTACAAATTACATTTTAGTAGCAAATTATAACTATGTACTAGGGATAATAAATAAATTGCGTAAGGCTCCTAAGGATATTACGTCTGCAACTATAGGAATACTCCAAATCCCAAATACAAATATGAAACATGCCATAATTATTGGAAGCAGTGTTATCGATAAGAGATTTTCGTTAGAACCAATGACTGCTATTGAAGAAATAGAACGAGGATTTTTTATGGGGAAAATGATTAGCTGCTGCTGTTTCCAAAATTTTTCAAATATATTTCAGTGGAACTGAAAAGAGAGCAAAAACAGAATTTGAATCTATCTGAAATAAATTTACCCGGTCCACATAGGAATTCCAATCCTGTTTCCTCTCTGCCGTTGAACGTGTTGTGGTTGTTGGCCCTCTGGACTCCATCGTAAGAGGAAGCTTCTCGAGCTACAAAAGAAGTACATTCTGACAGAGTCCTTAACAATTTTCAAAAGAATATTCATGGGCAAAGGTTTTTCGGGATAAAGGGGAGCGAGAACCACGTGTCAGGGATAAGAAGCACCAGCAGCAGTAGCTTTCCAGTCTTTGACTTCCTCAAGGACCTTTGTACTCTCGAGCACTCCACTATGGAACTTCAAATTTACTGGAACAAGAGAGTCTTGACTAGCAAAGGAAAGAAAGAAAAAAAAAAAACTGTTTCAACTTACGTAAACACTTTAAGATATTTTCAATTTTTTAACAATTGATTATCGCCCGATTCGAACTTCACCCACAGAATAATCATGCATCACGATAACGTGACCAGTGAAGCTATCAGCTGAAACGTATCTCATGTCACAAGAAGACGACATTTGGAGGATCAACACGGCATCCGACAAGTTCCTGAAAGCTGTTTGTCCCTCCCGATCTTATTTCGATCCATACAAATCCACGCGGCTTTTATATCATGGGCGTAGAGAGATTTCGAAGGATCGATCTTTTGCTGCGTTACTAGATTGTTAAGCGGGGGAATATCCCTCCTCGACTTGAGTCTGGGTATTCTCAGGATTACAAGGAAGGAGGAAGGACCGAGGAGAATCTCTTACTGGCAAGGGTAGAAGTTAAGGAAGGAAATGGTGCTTGTGTGGCACTCGAGGCTTCTGCATTAACCCCTTTTTCAATTCCTCCACCCTCTCCCCCTCCCGCCAACCCCCATTCGTTTCTCGCGTAACACATCTCGACCGTCGTCTTCAACCCTCCCTCCCCCTCCTTTCCCTCCAATGCGCGTTCACTGCGTTTCAATAGTTACATCGTGTCCCTTTAGCAGGATTGAAATGCTTCTGTAGTCTACGGCCTGACGGAATATATCGAGACACAATGAAGGGAGAGCAGAGAGCATTCTCCTGCTCTCTTTTTTTTCTTTTTCATTCTATTCCCCCTCATTCATTCATCCCAACCGTAGTAGTTCAGGTTACACATTTTTTCTATTCTCTGTTCCTCCTTTATTCCCTATAAGCGTAATCATCCTGCATCCTCTTGTAATTATTACCAGGCCAAAGAGACGTCGGATTTCTGTTGGATTCGAGGAAGCTACTCAGTTTCTAATGCGTTTCTGATATTATTCTTTTGGATGTATGGATAAAACAATAGATGTATCCTTTTTCCTGAAACGGATTACACGACGTCGATACCGTCGATACCATCGATACCGACTGCTCCTGCTTTTGTGACTCCACAGTGGATAGCGAGTATAGTAGCCGGTTCGATGCGAAACTGCTATGGCTCTAGTCATGCAATTTTCCTATTAGGCACGCATGGTATCCAGCAAGGGTGACTGTGTGAGAGAGAGGGTGCACAGTGTCATCCAACCCTTAACCAATGACAATCGCTAGATGGATAATTATTATGGTTTCCGATCTCAATCTTTTAATTACACAGGACTCTCCCTGGGGGGACTGTCGTGTGTCTTGAGTATATCAAAGAAAAATGAGAGTCGCGATTTAATCGCTGATGCTAACCGACAAATTATACTCAGGCTGCTATGGGCAGTACGATTTTAATTTCTGTTTTCATAGTTTCTGAACATTAGCTGTATACGTGTTCTGTATAAATAACACGTGCCGTTTGAACGAACAGAAAGTTTGTATCGGGCACGTTATGATATATCGTTAAATCATTAAGGGCATACGAAGTAAATATGCAGACAGGTAGGTAAATTTGTGTATACACGAGTACTTACAGAAGGCGCGTCTCATTCTCTTGAGAATTCATCCAATCAATAAAGATCTTGTCGAATGTCATTTACACCCCTTGGTATTTTCCGGAAGAGAAACGAACACTCTATTAATTCATGGCTGAATCAGTCATACTTCCAGGTTCATACGTAAATTGTCACTTTGTCATTTCACTTTGACAAAGGCATGGGTATTCTTTTGGCATTGTAGAAAAATATCAGGTGAGAGATTATCAAAGGCAGTTACGTACCTGATACAATTGTGCTTGCAGCATGGATATTGGCTCCGTCATGTAGATGAGCAACTGCAGCTGCAACACTTGCCGTTTTCGTGCTCTGTTCTTACGTCGCTCTTTTGCTCTACCAGCTTCCATAGTAGGGAATCCTATTTTTTCTAGAACTAGAAATCCCTGGAATATCTCTGATCAATACTGCAGCTATCGACGAGTATCGATAGATTTCTATATGCGGGGCTCACGGTATCGATCTATCGCATGCTATCCGCCGATCGTGACTCTCGACGTTCCCCAATGCAAATTTACCAGGAAAGTTATTAACGTGTAATCCACATCCTTCCAGCCTTCGAGCTTCAGGAAATTCATTGGACACCTATCCAAAGTGAAGAGCAGCTATCGCTATGGTAAAAATCCCATAAGAAGGGATTTGAAGAGCGAAGGGCTCATCTTCCTGGATGCAAGTACACAGTCAGACGCGTAATCTTTGAAGTTCTTATCGGGGGGTACGATAACGTTTTCAGCATCTTCGCTAGTCAGTCATCTGGAAAAGAAGCTGGGCTCCTTGAGGTTGTTTGAAGGAGCTAAGGTCGAGAGGCTGTTGTAATAGTCACCAAAATCGATAATAGTCCGTGTTGCATCGAGATGAACCTTGAGATTGTATTTTATTTTATGCCAAGGCTGCCGGAAGTCGCGTGGCGAAGGGTCAGAACGGAGCAACAATAAGGAAGCTTAGGGATGGGACATTGCGCGAAGTCACGAATGTCCTAATTGAAAATCAATATTTGCACTAGCTCTTGGCTGCTTCACCCTGACGCACTTCGCGTTAACCCTCATAACTTTTACTGCATCCGTGAGTCATTATCTACCCGACTGCAGTTGGAAAAGGACTAAGAAATATTCAGTCTAAAAAGGACTCGGGCGTAGGACCCAAAAGTGGTGGGGAAGTAATTTCGAAAGCGAACGAAAAAGTATATCAGCACGAGTGGGAAGGGAGGAGAGAAGAGCTTTACAGTACAGTATAAAAAGAAAGTCTACAAGAAAAGTCAATACTTTCACCAAAATGCCCTTCGACCCTTTGACATGTGATTATTTGGCATCTCATCTTAAAATTCAAGCAGGGTTAACTCCCTCAGAAATTTAAAACCTTTTTGGTAATTATAGAGAGATTTTGGAGTTGTATATGTGCCTTATAAATGTGTAAAAACATGTGAATACGTGATGCAGAGGTGGATACGTGCCCGGGTTTACGTCGACGGATATACGGATATACGGAATGGAACGGACGGGAGTGACGAGATGCATTTAGGAGAGAACCGCCGGCGTAATGGCGTCAATAGTGCTGATTATGTGACCGCATTTGCTCTCGGAGCGTCGGACGCCAGGGGTGGTTTTGAGGGACAGCAAGGGGGGATGACAGTCCACTAGGAATGACGTAGAGCCGACCAGTAGGACCGGGACAAAATGCGATACAGCAGGATGATCTGCGAGTGGCCAAGTGTCGCTCTCGTGCATCCCGTACGTGATGGGGTGGTCACACACCCACAGCCACACAACCGCACTATTGTGAGAGGACGTTTGACAAGCTGGCGGCACGTATCGACGCGCGGGGATTTTCGAAAATTCTCAACCCTTTCGGAAAATGAATCCTGCAAAATTGATACGCTGGGAATACTATCTGACACGCTAATTTTTATGCAAATTTACCTAAATTATCAGATTTAACGAGAGCATACTGGATCATAATACACGTTCTCCATCCGCCCCAATATCGATCCTATATAACAGCTGTCCACTCCATACTCATTCAGTAATTTCCTTTAGCCTGTCAATCACCCCTTGTTTCCGGTTACTCCCGACTGTTGGTATATCTTGTTCTGATACATGTAAAATGTCTGCTTTGATAAGCACCAGAAGCCTGAGCCAGAATTTCGACTAAATAAAATGCTTCGCTACAGCCAAGTATGTGTTAAATCGAATCGTGAGGTTCGGCTCTTGAAAATTCCGCGCCCGGAAGTAACCAGCTGGTCTTCACTTCCAGAGTCGAAGCCCCGTGGAATATTCTCTGATATCTATTTTTCTTGGACAAAAGAGGGGATTGCAGGCGACCGAGAGGGTTGAAAAGCAGCAGCGAGGCAATACGCCGTATATCGGCGTGACGTCAGAACAATTGCATCAAGCTAGACTGCATCGTAAAATGCATTTTACGTTCTGGTTCTGAGCGATGCGATATCCCATTCACAACTCTACCCTTCGGACTCCACATTTTTCTTCTGCAACCCTACCCCAAGCATAATCCCTGTCTGAACTCCTATTACCCTTACTACTGATATTACGTACCCATGATGTTTACTGCACGTATAAGTAAGCTCCGTAACTGAAGTCAGCTCGCCATTGGGTACGGGTACTACTGGCCTATTAGGATCCCAATGGTTATATCAGTAACCAGTTAGCAAGTAGCGAGCTAACATTTATGAGAACATTCTCAACACTAAAATATGCCTCAATACATATTCAAAGGGGTGGCTCCACGTTTTCCGTCGACCATTAGCATTAATCGCCTTCCGGCCGGAGGATTGACTACCTACTGAATCCGTATTGTATTGGATTCGCGGGCTACTACCCCCAGCCAACAACCCTCGCAATTTTACTGCAATGGAATTACCGAGATTTCTCTGAACGTCGTTATGCCATTACTTGAAATTCATATACATACCTTCAAATAATTTCATCCCCTTCGCCCGGCTGTGGTTAAAATCGCTGGTTCATCCACACTGCAGTAAACGAAAAAGAAAATTTACCTCGAAACAAAAATTCTCTGCCAATTTCATAAGGGAACCCAACTGGGGAAGTACACATATGTCCAGGATATTCACATGGGACTTACGTGGTCCAAGTAACGTCCATTCTGTCACTTCCGGTTATCTCGACGCCGTCGTCAATTTTGTCATCAGCTGTACACGTGAAAACGTGAGAGGGATGAAGAAAGTCTCGATCAGGCATTAAATCTGCAACTTTATTCTTTCGCAAGAAAGAAAAAATAATTCATCTCGTTAATGAAATATGATTTTATTACTAAATTTGCGAAATATATACATTAGGCCATACACATATATAAGTACATAATCATTCATTGATAGACAATAGGTATTCGAGGATCCGTTGACGCACGGGGGTAAACTTTATCGCTCGGCTTACGAGGATTTCAAATTCCTCGTCTATACAAACCCCTGGTGAATCTTCGACTAACCCCTTTCGATGTCTTCGAACCCTCCCGAGCGCCCCTAAGAAATTTGCCCCAGTGACTCGTGGCGTCTCGAAACATTGGGATATGTGTGTATATATAATACATATATACTTTATTTATTTCCGCATATACCTATATATATTCATGAACGCCTATGATTATATATAGATATATTTACATGAATTAGAAGCTCGATACAACTGAGGGTTAACACTGACGACCGACGACTGAGTATCTTTCTTATATTATGGTTTTATCGTCGACTGTACTTTCGCTCCTCCTCATCCATGTGTATGTCAATTGCGTAACGTAATCCCTCGATATCACTGAACCATTATGCAACATTCCAGACGTCCGCTCTTCGTATTTACCTAATCATCCCCTAGTCCATAAACGACCCCAACAGATTTGAACGCTTCCCGATCCACAGCCCCACAGCGCCAATCGAAAGTCACTGTGTGTCTCGAGCATCGAATTGAAACAACCCCTGTAATTCGCAGAAACGACAATTTCCATCCCACCTGTCGAATAGAGAAATTCTCTCGCTTCTCTGAATTGCGTTTGAACAAGCACCGATAAGGTTGACGGGAGAACGTGGCGAGTTTCACACTTTTTATTTTCTCTATTTTTTATTCTCTTACTCCTTCAGCGCCCGTCTCTTTCTTCTTCTCCGAAAGCATTCGAGAGAGCGGAAAGAGCAGAGACTCGACGGAGCATCGGCGTCGCCACCCTCGCTCGACGGGGTGGCTTTACGAAGCAACCCCACGCTATTCTCGCGGCACTATCCAGGTACGCGAGTGCGATTATATTCCTTTTGTCAGGTCGTGCGCACGTGTGCGCTGACTTTAATTACCTACATTAAGGAGACTTCCTGTTTCCGCCATCCCCCCCCCCTGCACACCACCCCTGGTTTGACTCGAGCAGCCAACCGGTTTCCCGCAGCCACAGGTATCATTTGCATGATAATTCCAAAACGTTGCAATTTTCTCGCTTACGTCCTCAAGAACGTAAGAACGGGCGCTTTGCGAATTTCGCGTAATCCTAGTCAAACTTTATTCCCTAAAACGACCTGATTTGCCATTCCGAGGAAACTCTTATACGTTTAAGCGATAGTTGCTGCTTTTTTCTTTTCGATTAATGTCACGGAGGAGTGCTGGCGCGACGGGAAGGACCATACGAAGAGGGGATCATAGCAGATATAGGACTTGTCCTACAGCAACACGAAGGAAGTCGATAACGATAACTGTAGGCGTGAGGATCGAAGGGTTGCAGGGGATTTATTAACGCCGATAGCTGCCGGGCTGATGAATCTGTTACATCGATAGGCCGGCCGGGAATTAAGGGATGCTGTGCAAAAGGGGATCCACTTTACGAGATATGTCAATTGCCATTAAAGAGACTGCTAAGTTTTGCGGGTTCTTATTAATCACACGTACTAATTATAACTTATAATTAGAACGGAAGCTGCCTTATCCCCCTTAGTGTCGAGGGGATCGTTCTTCCGGCGATCGTCATTCGATTATTTATGATTAACGATTCTTCTGTCGCTTTCTTACTTTCGCTCTTCCCTCTTTCTCTCTCTTTTATACAACGTCATAGCTCCAACTCTTTTTTTCTCTTAAGTCTATCACTCTGTACCACCGTGGTTCCACAAGCGGAAATTATCACAGGGGACAAGAAGACACGTGGCGCATTCTCACTTTTACATCCCCTGTGACCGCCTAAAGGGCTTCTTGCACAATTGACTATCTACGTGTAACCTTCTAACCTTTAGCACACGACGAGTCGATTATCGATATTACCAATCAATATTCATTAACGTATATCGGAAACACGATCGCGTAACCGATCGATTACGCTATCGACAATAACAAAAATCATTCAAGCGCACACATACTTCTTCTGTACAATAACAATTGTTATAAACCGACTGTCTTTGATTCCTTATCAGCGATTTCATTTTTGGTTTTCCATTGTTTATTGGCTCCGCTCGATAATGCCAAGCCATGATTGTCTTTTGTCACGAAACGTCTTCCATCTTCTATCTTCGTCTCTCCTCCAGTATACGTCCCATCGGTCGAGCGTCGTTGAGGCTCTCCCAGGCTGCCCCCGGTCTTAGAGGGTGAGTCCATCCCCCATCGACGAGAGAATCGTCCTAATTCTAAGCTACGACGAGTAATCGCCGTAGAAGGAGATTCGCCACTATTGTCAGTAGAGAAGGGCCGGAAAGACTCGCGAGACCTTGAACTGAAAGCAAAAAGTGAAAGTGAGTCTCGTAAAAGCTGAGGTTTACCGCTACTGCGTCAGTTTGTGCACGGAGGTTTCATGAGAATGTTGTGTAAGATCGAAATGAAAATGAGTCAGCGGGGCCGAGGGGAGGGCTATGGGAGTCGGAGGAGTTTTGTATTTTTATAGGGACAAGTTTACGTATTTTCTCTGGGAGGGTTCTCCATGAGCCAACCCCTGCCTTTGAAAACCACCCCTGCACCTATACGTATATTTAGTACTAGCTACCTCCTGCCTGGGGGATTAAAACGCACCGTCTACTAAATATCTCCCTAAAGATCGTGGCCACTTTGTTAATCAACCGAAAGCATCAGGACTTCAATCATCTTCTCTTTTCGATTGTGTGCGCGTAATACGTGCCTGCGCGAGTGGCTACTTGGCTACTTGGCTGCGTGTACCACGTGGGAGTAACGATCGCGGTGGTATTACGTGTATTAATACAGTGTACCGTGGTTATTATTGATAAAGGGGTAGGTTAGGTTAACTTTCAGGAATTGTGAAATGGAAGATGAGGATTGAGAAATGAGTAAGGTGAATTCTCAGAGGATTGTATGAGGATGAGGATAGGTGGGGAGGGGGGGGACTTTCTTTTTCTTCTGCCCCCCACTCCCCCCCCCTGAAAACGATTATCCAGTAATTCTTGGTTACGTGATGTTAGATGTTCGATCCTTGAATGGCGATGCTGAGCGAGAGTTAAGAGAAGCAAAATCGTTTTAAAGAGAAGAAATGGGTAGACGGAAACGAGGACGGGGGAATGTGCAGAGGAAGGAGTAGCAAGGGGAAGGGGAAATGAAGAAGAAGAAGAGAAAGGAGAAAGGAAGGAACGTGGTAGCTAATGCGAGAAGCGGCCGCAACGGGACGGTCTCTTCGGCGAATCGACTAACGAGAAAATCGAAGATCGTTAAGAGCAATTTCTACGAGTCGTTCCGCAGCCTCTTCCGGTTTGAATTTCTCTTTTTCTCGATCCTATTAGCCTCTCTCCTTCGCCTTGTCGAGCCTGACCTTTTACAATTTTTCTTTTATACCTCGATACATGCCCTAGTTTTTCTTATTTTTTGTTTTCTAAACCTTTAATTTTTCTCCCTTTAATTCCAGTTTTCTATTATATTTTGCCAAGGCTGTGCTTGGGAATGCGCGAGAAGGGTGAATCGAAGGGTCGATCGAAGGGCTATTTTCTCAAAATTCTTTAGAATATCCTTATCGTCTGACGTTGTTTATGTGCTGCGAGAAACGCCTCCCGTGAGGCGAGCTAATTTCAGTCGCAATTAGTCGGTAACTAACGGAGGCCAAAGAAGTGAGAAGGGGAGGCCGAAGCCACTGTAAATTATTGTTTTAATTTCTAGAATTCTTGTTGAAGGAAGAGAGTGAGAGAGAGAGAGAGAGAGAGAGAAAACGAGCAGAAAAATGGACTTGCAAATAAGGAGGCTATAGGCAATAGCAAAGAGCTATATAAACACATATACATTTGTATTTGGCGAAAAGTAAAAATACAATAGACCCCAGAAAAAAAAGTGTACCAGACTGCACGATATAGATAGACTAAGCAGACTAGTACAGACCGTTAACTGAATAAAATGATTAAAATTGATAATGGCTGACTGTCAATTTCTACCAATACGTAATTGACTAGTCGATCGCTCGACACCGATTAACCTTTCTTAGTCAGCTAGAATTACCGAAGGGTCACACCATTTATAACAACAAACAGCCCACCAACGCTTCTCAATTCCAATCAACGGGCTGACCCACATTTTACTTTTTCACTTAATTTTTTCTCACTTTTTAATCACGCTCCCCGACCCTCCATTTTCACAATCAGGAATTATATCGATCACAGCAGACCCATTTTAAGATAAATGAATAATCCCATCCCTCCAATCAATCGACTCGTAAATTTTTCAAAGAGTCCATTACGCTCCACAGGAAAAGCTTTCATTTGAATTTTCATCCAGCTGCAGTCGCTACCAGCTATCTTGGTAGATCCGTATGCAAGGCAAACATCGGTCAGACCTTCCCTAGTCACTTCTCCCATTCACTCCTGCTTCAAACCATTACAAATTTTTGCATTTTACTTTTTATGCTAACCTCTCACCATTCCCGGGTTATTAGTTTTGAATTTGACTGAACGTGTAATACGCAGCTGCGCTCATCATTTCGCACTTGCTTCATTTTTGATTTTATTTTATCCCCTTCGAACCTTCCCGCTGCCATTATACTTTTATTTTCGCATATCCCGCGGGAGTAGCACTTTATTATTGCAAGCTGCGAATCGGTACGAATAAATTATAACGACTTCCTCCCGTACGGTTAATTGATAATCCCATTATCGCTTCGGGGTTGTAAACGTCGACAAAATTGGATTTATCGTCACCGATCGCTAATTTAATCTAAACAGGGCTTAACGCACGGACGAATAATTAGGCCGACGCCTTCCGCTATTTTTTCTCTCTTAAACTCCCTACGGCGGCTCTCGGTCCCACTTCATTTTCCTAATGCGAACAAATAGTATCCGCCACCTTCGGGCCATTCAATTAAACTGCATTCGGGAAACGTAATGGATTAAAAGTTTAAGGACTTACCGGAAAACTGGGTCCCACGCACGTCGACCAGTGCTTTATGCCTCCGTCGATTCAATTCCACTATGGCGTCGCATCTTTAATACGTAACTTATTAATAACATCGTAAAGGAACAATCACGTATCTAATACATTACCTTACGTTTATTTTTCCATCAACCAGATGATTCGGACCAATTTCGAGGCGTAAGGTTGATATCGACGTAAACAGGTCGTGCTGCTCGATGGTCATTTCCGAATCTGCAGCGATCTGGAAAAAAATCATTGATCGAAGGGATCGTTAAGAGTGCATCGGGGGGATGAAAAATATTATCACTACTTCCGGTTTATTATTTTTATATATCGATAATCGTGCAGAATCTGCATTTAAAATTATGATTCGATTAGCGTATAGGCAGACCAGATCAGTGAAGTAAGGAGGAGAGGAGAGGCTGAAACGGTACGATGTTCTTTGCCCAAATGGGTGACTGGCTGAGCGAGCATCGTTCGAGCGTGTCTTTTGCCAGCCGATAAACGGCGCTTTGGCGGCTTTCTGACTCGCGCGCGAAAGGGGAGCTAAGGAGATAAATGAGTCCTGAGATTAAATCATTTTCAAGTCCTCGAAAAGTCTCAAACTCTTGATCTTCCTTTTCTGGTCTTCGCCATCACTCACGGTCTTACCGTGGTATCTACTTAAGCTATTCCTGATTGTATCTACCCCAACGGCTTTATCCATTTTCCAGCAGATATTATTGAGACTCGAATAACCAAGCTGAGAAATGCTTCAACAACTAATAAATATATATTACACTCAGACTGTGCATTTGTCAACCCCTGAGTAACCATGCACTATTTCCGTCTATTTCTAGAACAATAGTGTGACGGATAACAAGATAATAAGGGCTGCCTGAACGACCCTTACGTAAACACGAATAAGATAAGGATAGCAAGTAGCAAATGAGGTCGAGGATTGTCAGTGGATAAGTGTTTTATCTAAATTTTTTATTTAGTTCAATTCTCACGGTTTTACGATGAAAGAAATATTAAGATGGAAGGAATATCAAGAAGGCGCAAGATCTTGTGTAAATTTGTAAAAATAAGATATCGCGATTCAATATGGACCTCAAAGGATATTGAAAAATATTGTTTACCAGTTGTCACGTGGTTCGATAGGGCAGAATTCTTTGTGAAATTCTGACTTTTCTATTATATCGCGCAACACGTCACTGGTCGCATACAATGCGATTGTCAGTAACGATGACGAGTAATTCGGTTTATAAATTTCAAAGGAATTTCGACACGACTGGTTTTCAAAGTCTTCCAAAAGGAAAGATATGAAAGGAAAGAAAATTGTAAAAAAAAAAAGAAAGGCAAAGAAAAAGAAAGACAGCAGAGTAGCTGTGTTCCAGGGTATCGCGGTGTGAGAAGCCGCGAAAGATAACGGGAAAGTTTTAAAATAAAGGTGCAAGCGGGATAATCGGCAGGCCGGGGTCGAAATTTATCGAGAAAATTTCTCCAGCACGGTTAAAACTCAGAGATCCTATCCGACTTGGTGATCTGAACTCGCGAAATTAGCCGAAAAGAATTTCGTCGACGGCGTAATCGTTCGTGAAGTCAATTCAACTTTCGATTAGCCCTAACGATTGGAGCCTCACGTATTTACCGTGCCTCTACGTACAATCATATTAAATTGAGTATCTTCTCAAGATTCACAATAAAAAGAAAGAATGGATAGACGCGATAACGATTTTCCAAATGAAAATAAAAACGAGCTTCGTTAATGCCAAAGCCTCTGAACCTTCTGACAATGTCTCCTCTCTTTAGAGGTTTCACGGGATCGCTTTAACCTCTGTCCCGTTAATGGCGCTGCAGTCTGGACAATTGGACTGAAATGAAAAAACTCACCTTTTCCCCATTGATATACCACTCGAGTTTGGCTGGCGGGTAGGATTTTCCACTGGTACAATTAAAGTCCACGATGTCACCGCTGGCGTAGATCTTCTCCTTGCCTGTGATTTCAGGATCATGGTCAGGGGGCGCTGCAACAGCGAACCACACGTAAAAACGTAGACGCGTATTCGTCAGCGAGATTTTACGATTTGAAAAGTCCTCGTGACGTAACACCGAGAGAGGAGAGGATTTTACGGCGTTAAGGGAAAAATCGTGATGGTGTTGGAAGCGGTTACTGAGGATTTTACGAATTTTCAATTGGAGAGGAAGATCTACTGGGATTTATCTCCATCCACAGCTGGAGATGCTCTCTAGGAGTTAGACGGAGGGATGGTTATAGGCGAATATACGTATCTCAAATTTACTTCCTGCTGCTGAAATACCGGATACGATTTTACTGCTCTTTATTTCTCTCGCTATTCCGAATTCCCTATATAGATATACGTCTATATATATATATATATTAATACACTGTTTCCTCACCGCACACGACAAACCCCTGTGACTTTCCTCACGCTCAGGTCGCTGCTACTCGTTATTCAGGCCATTTCCTTAATTACGCTCAAACCCCAAGGCTATTTTTAATCGCCGTTCATAATTGCTACCTTTGCGCGTTCGCCACCGCGACACCTGCTTCGCCCCATGCCCGCACGCACATTTGCGCCAGACTCACCGCTTATTTCTCACACTTCGTCAATTTCCCAAGAAGTCCTCAATTTTTTCCCCTTTAGCTACTGCAACCCTTTTTCGCTTTTGCTTCGCCACTAACTACTGCAATTCCCGGGAACCCGAGTATCCACCCGTATCAGGACACGGGACCACGTTGCTTCTGTCTGATGTAAAAATCGATAAGTGATACGGATCATCCAGATTCAACAGGAGCAATAATTCATTGGTGCACAATTGAGATCTGGCACGTTCATACCGAATGCGTACGCGTGACCTTTGTGGGAGGAACTTTAATCTACAATTGGAGTCATAAAGGAATTGCCGGAAACACGACTAGGGAAGCTTAATGCCCTGAAAGTTTAGAGCCTATTACGTAATGACGGCTGCAGGGCGTAAACCGTCCCATCCGATAAACAAGGCTGAGGAAGGGTCCAGGGGTGACAAAGGATAGTGCGGAAGGAAGGAAGAGAGAGAAAGGGAGAGCGAGGAGAAAAAGAGAAAAGCCATCTCGAGTAATTATTCGAGTCAGGAAACTGTCCTGGCGGGATGAAATTGCATCTTCTGCGTGGGACAACGAGGGAGGCAGCCAGGGACGCGGTTGCTGGTTTGGTGGCTGCCGGCACGCTGCCTGTTCATCGCACTGCGATAAATTCCCCCTAAAAGTAGGAAGATCTGCCTTGGACCATGCGAGGACGAAAGTTTACAGGCCTCGGACCGCTTTTATCGCTCGAAGCGTCTGGTCCGACGTCTTCCGAAGCCTCGCGACGCCCCTCCTCAACCGGCTCTACAGTCCCGTTACGGTTTACGGCTTTGGCATACCTATATGCCATGGTTCCGCACCTCCATCGTTCTCTATCTTTACCATCGGTATAGCCTTTCTGCACTACCAGCTCGCTAATATTTATCGCCCTTCGACATTTTTATACGCCTTTAAACTTCAGAATGGGATATCCTAGCATCGTCGCCGAACGCACGTTGAAAATGAAAATTCTACTTCGATATTCCACCCTTGTAAAGGGAGTCGTCAAACTCCACGACAGAGATCTGCTCAAGGTATTACTACGGTAAACTCAAAACCGCGTAATCGAGCTGAAATTTGTTTTACGTCTAATTTGTATAGCAGTACATCTCTCGACAAATTTTTAACACGATTCACTCATCAGTTTCCGAGTATTTCCGAATTAATGTCAGGACTCGTAACACGTATTCCCTATACCTGGCCAACAAAACGCGCATGGTTTTTTTTTATTGCATTTGACTCGTCCGCGTGATTCCGATGAAAAACTAGCACGTGGCAAAGGAAAAAATTAGGAATTTTTTAGATTTTTAGTCAGAATTTTTTACTCATAGGATTTATTGATAGACATGAAAGAAGTTCGATATTTATTACGAAATCTCTCGTACGACTGCTAGACGAAAGAGCGTTACGGCAACATTGCGTTTGAGACTGTATTCGGTGTATATACGTATACACTACTGCATCCAATGTACATTAGTGTGTGCCTATCGACGCAGGGATGGGCGTGTGTGAGTGAACTGTACCAGTTCAAAAGTTGACGCTGGATTGTTAAAATCTTACATTGAAACTTTTGTTATTTTTCGGTCCTTAGTAATACCTTAAGTGATACCCCCCATTTCGTTTTGACTTCAACAATCGTTATCACCGACCTATAATACTGCATCGGACTGTCTTTTTTTTTTTCAACGAGACAAGCGATTTAACGAAGCTTCAATTCGACGTCGGTACTTTTCACAAATCTATAGAAAAAAGTAATGCGCAATATTGACGTACTCCGAAAGAAAAACAAAGAAGATTAACCATCGAAGCTCTATCGAAAGGTGGAGGGTTGTGGTAGACCCCTTTGTAAGTCGAGATTCAACAGTGCACCGAACACCAAAGAGTAGACTCTTGTCAAAGGATTAATTATCGGATGCCAGGGCATGTGTGTACTCACATATGACCTCCATGTAACTCTCGTTATAGACAGATGGGAATCCAGGGGCTTCAGTGATGACCTCGCACTTGTAGAGACCACCGGTTTTCAATCCGACGTTGTGAAGCGTCACTTTTTGGTCATTCGAAAAGTGAGTCTGAAAGATTAGAGCATACATAGAATTCAGTAAAGTCTCTTTATACGATTTTCATGATTATCTAATTCATTCAACTCGTGCCTCCTCTCTATTGCCTATAATTCACGTGAGACAGTCGACTGATATTTAGGAGCGGCAATTGCACTTTGGATTTTAATGGGTCGATGCTAAGTCGAAGCAAGGAGACCGCGAGGCCAATGTAAGACCGTTCGAAAGGGCTGCACGTAAGGCCATATTGATTTAACAGTATGGGTCCTCGACATTACGCTGCTACGAAAATAACTCGAGGGAAAGAGAAAAAGACAAAGTTCCAGGTGTTTATCTATTGAAAATTCTCTCTCTCCCTCTCTCCCCTTTATTCTTCCTTTATTATATTTTCCTGACCCTAACACTTCCTTATAACCACTTTCGCGGTTTCCACTTCGCATTCACGCGTTTACAGTTTTCGTCGTACCTGCATCGTGCCCATCTATAATACACTCGGCATTTACAGAAAATGGGACTAACAAGAGCTACAATCCATTTAGCTTTAGCTGACGTGCCTACCGAGAATATTTCGTCTCTCCGAGGGGCCAAATTCTTGGTGAATTTCAGAGAGAGTGCTCCCAGACCCTTTAAGAAAGAGACAAGGGTAGAGAATGTATTTATCATAAAATCTATTTATCGTAAGGGCACCGGCGATGCTGCTCCTAAGAGATGAAGTGAACTGACTCGGGTGAATCGTACCAGCTGGAACGGCGGACAACCCGGCTGTCGAAGTTTGATGCCAGTTATAAGGGTTTGAGGAGATGCTTGCCTGTGAGGATAAAATAAGGAGAAAAAGAAGACACAAAAACCAGAGGAGATTCTTTAGTCTGATGGTGCCTTTTAAGGAGTGGAGACCCGATGGAAGTTTGTTTGGAGGTTTTCATGGAAAAGGAATAAAAGACCGATGCTACTGAAACAATGGAAAGTACCAGAGGATGGACAGGAGGGACGGTGAAAAGGTAAGAGACGCTAAGGACAAAGGACAAGGCGTGGGAAGAAGAAGTGAAATAGAGAGGTTGCCAGTGAGGGAGGGAAGTGGGGTAACAGGGAGGATCGCGAAAGAGCGAGAACTAGTTCGAGAGCGTGGAGATTGTTTACCGGCATTGTTTTATGGAAGTTACCCGCTCACTTGAGCGAACTCCAAACGGATGAAAAACTTTATGAGGTTGCACCCCAGTGGGTCCGTTCTTCCGAAGAACCCTGATGCTTTATGCTTTTCCTTTATAACGGGATATCGTAATTTCACTCCACATCACTCGAGGAAACGTATGTTTTAGGAAATTTTTTTTTCTTTCTTTTAATTTCTCCAAATGTCAAACTGGCCTTTTCAACTTCAAAGATTTTTTTGCAATGTTCATAGCGCGCTTTACCACGAGGGAAAAATCTTTCTACGCTCTTACTCGTTCCGTCAAAGCATTGTGGATGAAATATATGAGTAGAGACGAAAAACAGGCAAGGAACAAAACAATGTGTCGTGTACCAGTGGCGGATTTGAAAAAAATATGAGGCGACGATCGGCGTTGATTCGCTTGAAATTTCACCAGAGAACTGGGTACGAATACAATACAGCGAGGCTTTTAGTGGCTGTAGAAATTGGAATTGGTTGGACTTGGTTGGCGCTTGGACCACGCTGACTGTTACAGAGGGCGGAATACAGGGTTATACAGATCACGGTATTTCCACGTGGGAGAGGAAAATGAAGGCGGAGGTTTTGGGTCGTCGCAGCAATACATAAATGCTGCCAGGAGGGAGAATGGGTGGTTTTCCCAATTTGGAAAAAATATTCTGTGCCTCGGGCTACGGGAATCGAAATGTTTTCATTATCATGGAAATTCTCGGCTAATCGCGATAATGTACGAGTGCTCGGATTAATAGTTCCGATAAAATGGGAAACGGAGGCCCGGCACTCGCGACACGTAATCCTCATTATGTTTCCCCGGGTATTAACGAGAACCGATTCCGCGGCTGTCCGATTTTCCCGGGTGCTAACGGTGCGCTGAACCAATATTTTCTGCTGGAATCCACGAAAAGAGTAAAACGAGGTAAACGAGTGAAATCCGAGGATGGGGGGGTTGACTCCCTTCTATTATGTCTAGGTTCTTTTGAAGGTATCGGGAATACACCACCAAGTGCCTATCCTTCCGGTAATTATGCAAACGAGTGCTGGTGCATATTGCCCTAAGATTGCACCACTTGTTTTTCTTTCCTCACGAGCCATTTCCATTTTGCTTCTCGCAAAGATGCAGTAACGTACCGACGCCACAGTCGACGTCGACGCGGGTACTTTAAAACCGTATATCCTCCCGCGCCTCTCGTTCTCCGACTACGTCGTCCAAGCTGGGGTTTATTTTTATCGCCGTTTTGAATATGCGGCTTTATTATACGCAGCTACGGCTACATACCCTTCGGAATAAATTGAAATATTTTATGCAGAATGCTTATGGTCCCGGCAAGAGTTACCAGGGAATACACCGTCGGAAGGGGAGACCGAAAGAAGCAGGACGAGGACGAGAATGTTCCTGCGAGTTCCGCTTTCGATACACACGAACAACAGCTTGATCCAATTGAACGACCAATTTCAGGGAAAAACTCGTTTACCGACCGATTTACTCGGATCCACGTAGAAACTTCTTCGCGGACGTAAAAATGTCTCGTATCCACTTTTAAGAATCGATTTTACATTAATGCCTCCATTCGGCGGCGGATTCTCTTTGCTCCGTACTAACTTTGAGCTCGATCATCTTAACCCAGATTCGCCTGGCAGTGACTCGGTCTATCTTTTACCTTGACTGGCTGCATGACTCCGTTATATAGTTCAGCCACTAAAGTCGACCGATAGTTGCGAACGATACTTGATCGACGTGATCGCGGCTTTCTCTGCTTGGCCCTGTTAGTTTTCTTAGGTCAACCTTGTAACCATTAGGATCAAGCTGGGTCAACGACTTCTTATCAGTTTCCGAGCTAATCCGCCCTTTTCTTTCCGCAGGCCGAAAACTCACTTCCATCTCACTGCTCTTAACTAAATCTTCATGAAGGGTGCCACCCCTATCTCGATCCTTGAATCTATCCTCTCTCCCCAATTTCTTTCCCGCCGCCTTTCACTCTCGCTCTCGACCCTCGCATTATCTCGTGAGGCTTAACAAAATGTAGGACGAACTAACCTGACCCAACGTCACCCTGACGTGCCCCTCAAAGGGTAGACAAGTGGAATGACACTTGGTTCCCTATGGTCCATGAATAAACGGACAGCCTCGTATTGGCGAACAGATTTTTCTCGAAGATGGAGAGCGCAGATCAAGACCAGAGAGAGTCCCACTTTGTCGACCCTAAACCACCTACCACCGATACTCCTACCAGTACTACCACTACTAGGAATACTACTACAGCCCCTGGTGCTGCTGATGCTGCCACTACCGCTGGACCAGCCAACCTTCCGACCTTCCTGCCCTTCGCCCCTTCTTCCATGCCTGGATCCTCTTGATCGTCATTTATAATGCATCGTGAATCGCCCTTGGCTAGAAAACGATCGACTTTACTTCGAGCACAGATTTGTCTCGTAACGCTCGGCCAAGACTTTTTCCAGTCGCCCGTGCAGATTCTCTTCGATTTCTCTAGAGCCACTTTGAGAATGAAATACGAGCCGGGCAATCCGTGACAGGGAAAATATAGAAGACGGAATTTCAAAGTTTCGAATGTGGCCGACTGCTACCCTATTGGATGTTACACTCTTCCAAAGTTCAGTGGTGTCAGGAAATAAAAAATGACGACTACACCAAGGGAAAGTGGGTACATCTTCGCTTTCATGCTTATAGAAAAAAAAATCTCATTCGAGGACTATGGGTGGATCGTTTTCAGAAAAAAAAAAGTAACAATCGTCCTTTTGAATTGATACTCACATCAACTTCTACACCTTCGACGCGATAGCTGTGTTGACTGGGCGTAGCTTTGGGCACGTATCTGTAGAATTCCTCGTGATCTTTGTACCAGGTCACGGAGTAAAGTTTGCCGGTCCCAAGATCGTAGCTGAAATAAATGAGAATAATATCGATTATTGAAAATTATTATTTCTTATCGAATCGCTGGTAATATTGTATCAACTAAACTTTCTTTACGCAGTGCCTGGCAGAATGACACAGTGGTGACTTCGAGGGAGGATAAAAAATGTTTTCTTATTTCTATAGCGCGACAGTCCTCGGCCATCTGTACGATACAGCGACAGCTCACTGTAAGCTGGAGTTCTTTTGTGCGACTGTTTGCTAATACCTATCTACACCCTCTTCGCCATAATAATGGCTGCCACGCGACCCTTAGCATGCACGCGAAACCCTCCCTTGGCCATTGGGCACTTTAGTCGCCGATAAAAACGAAAGGGTCCCTTAATCGTTGGTTAAAGAGTGACGATTAACGGGAGCATTCTTGGGTATCCTTTCACTTTGCCATTTCGAGTGGCACGCAAAGAAACGACTTCGTTCCGAAGTAATTTACAAGGTGGTCCGTCGTCGGCGAATCGACTTCATTGAAAAGTGTGAAAACTTTTCTTCAGTGGTTCTTTCAATCGCTCCAAATGGTATCCTGAAAACGGGTGATAATCGTGCCCGAAATTACCGCATACGCGTCTTCAATTCTTCTTTACAGATTTTCCCATTTTTCACCCAAGGAATCCTTCCCCGATTATTCGTTCGGTATCGTAATCCCCCTGGAATTTTCCCGTGTGATCCGATGCGAATCGTCGATCGCCGAAAACAAAGTGTTTTCCAGATATCAATATGCGGGCTGCAGAGTAAGTACAATAATGGCGGCAGAAGTCGATGAGCAGGTAGACGTGGAGATCGAGGAGAGCAGTTGGCGAGGAGGCAGACACAGATAGAGGAATAGAAATGGATTTGGGAAATAGGAAGTGGAGGAACCGTCAGGATCCTCGAGAGTTGACGGTATTTAATTAATTAATGTCTCACACACTCACGAAACTCGAGACTCTAATGATCTCAGTGCTCAATGCTGGAGTCTCCTGTGAGGTTGAGTTGCGCGAAGACAGGTAAACGCGCGGTAAACAACCAGGCACCAGGTTCCCTCATAGATAATGCCCAACCATCTCAGACGTAGTTTGATGCATTTGCGACTTCTAGACACTCGACACTCGCTACTCACTATTCTCTAGTCGGTGGCCGAATATTAGCAGGAGCGAACGAGCCAGATATCCCGGGAGGGTCCCTACCCAGTGTATCCAGCATCCGGAGCGTATTCAACATGTACGGAGTCCCTGCTCGGAGCCTCCACCTCGGCCACTGCATGAATAACAAACTAATCAGAACGACGAGATATAACGTTTGCTAGGATATTAAGGTATTTAATTACATACGTGTATAAATAAATTGCACGTCCCGATTAATGCAAATGTTGGTGCAGAGAACGAAATGAAACGGGCGAGATCAGGAATTTCGAGAAAGACCTAAGAAAGCTGAAGGAGCTCGAGATCAATAGAGAGAATCTAGAAGTACAATCTTAGAAATCCTTTCAGAAAGTGCAACTCCCTCGGAACTTTCGCTGTGCGAGTCATCTTCTTAATTGAAGCTTTATCAGAATGCAAGTTTCTTCAGAAAGTGCAACAGCAGTGCCCTATCGGAGGGATCGTCGGTAGTGACCAGCAAATGGAGGAGGTTTGATCATGTGAAATAATCGAGGCTTGATCATCGTCAGTGTACACGATTTTCGTGGATACTCGGAGATAATAGTCGGTTCCAGGTTCTCTGTATATGCAGGAACCGTATACCGTAGCCACTCGAATCTGCCTCCGTGCTTCTCTACGTTAATACATTCTAGTGCAATAGTATGGCGCAGTGGTAAAACCGGTTGGTGGGATGTAGTGAGTAGCGACGTACCCAGGGGTGGCATTCGGCCCGCTGGAAAAGGGATTGCAGCAGTCAAGCGTAGGTGCAGAATTTGGAGCGTTGCGTCGTGGGATTGATTTGCATCCTCTGGCTCATTTGCTGGGTCGTGTCCTGTGGGAACAGGAGGCTCCAGTCTATACCCCCGTTATTCACCTTCCGTATACCTTCCGACCACCTTCTATTTCTCTTCGTATTTTCAGTTTCTCCTGATTTTCCTATCCCGGTCCCTCTCGCACCCTCTGTTTACCTCAGCTGCCTATTCCGAGTATTGACGTACGCAGAAACGTGGAAACACTATGGCGCCCATACACAATACGTTTCTCCACTTCGACTAACAATAAGACTCCTTGGTTCAATATGTACTCCTCCATGTATTAGTCCCTTTCTGGGCCATACGTGCGAACCATTGACTTGCTAGCGACACAAAATTCACGTTATTAGCAATAATACCAGTTATAGCAGCAGTTGCAGTAACGTGCTAGTAGCCATTGGTACTGGAAGTAGCGACGATAACTGTAAAAGTAATGGGCCATTACTAATGGCAGTACGTGGTTTAGCCAGGCCATCGGGTTCACGTCGAACGATGAGTTATCAAAAGAAATACATTAAGCGAGATGGATGGGATGACCTCGGAACCTCAAACGTGCGTCATCCGTCTGGGCGCAGAAAACAATAAAGAAGATACGTGCAGAATGGAACTGAACAGAAAAAATTTAATAAAGAGCAAAAGCATCGCGCTCGTTAGGTTCGTTAGGGGATATCAAATTCGATCCCTCGTTGATTCCCATAGAAGAATTTGCGCTACGAGTCCTTTGATAAGACGAAAGAGTCTGCGAAGCGGAGAAGGTAACAAACGATGCACCACTGCATTCGGCTGGCTGGTAAATTTTCACACCCCTGAGCTGCCGAGGCGTCGCACTCGCCCCTAGGACAGTAAACCAACTACGATCCCCCGGACGGCAAACTAATTTGCAATTTATACGAGAGAGGACGTGGGTGGAGGGAGATGGAGAAAGGTGGGCATAGGGGGAAACTCATAGACGCGTGCCAACTGATCCCTCGGAGGAGGCTCCCTTAGTAGAGGGGGAGGGAGGAGAGAGAAGCAGAGGGAGGGAGAGACTGAGTACAGTCTCGCTAATATTAGAAAATGTCGTGTAAAGTCATAATTTCACTGCGGCTGACGTGTACGCTCCCGGTACGATTTAATTATTAACTTGATGAACTGCAATACTGCCGAGGCAGCGGCGCCGCCCTTTCCTGTCTCCTCGTTCCTCGTCACAGCCCGACGTTCGACTGATTAATAAATCTATTTGGATCCAGTTACGGCAATCGAGGTTCCCGCTAGCGAAATCCTCATCCGCTCCTGATCCCGCAAACCGAGCGTACAGGGTCGAGGACCGCCTGGGCTGCTTGACAAAAGGAGTAAAATCGACAAGGACACGTGAACTATTGGAAGAGAATAAACGGTAACGTCGCGACTGCAGGCGCCAGGAGTGGGACGTCGGCGTCGCTGGCGTCGTCCCGCGACACAGGATCATGCCTAAGATCGATCGGTATGTGTCCTGGAATATTGAGAGGGAATGCTCCCTTGACGAGACAAGGAGTAGTTCAGCGCCCAAAGGCCTCCTTATTTCTGGAACCGTGGAAAAGCTCCGGCGTCCCGACGCCCTCGCGTGGACTTTCCAGCGAAGAACTGCTGACGTCGCTTAGATTTTAGATATAGGAAGACATGGCCCTCGTGAGCGCCCCGGGGAACGCCGTGCCACGAGGGAGGGCTGTCTCTCCCATTGCTGACGTCACGGTATACATCATTTTCCAGGCTGCACCCACCCCAGCCAGTCCGCCCGAGTCAGACTCCTAGGATACTGAATTAAGATTTAGATTTTTTTTTGAAGAGTCTGAAGGAAGGACCGACGCGAGGAGGCTGAGAGAATCTGCCAGGAAATGGGAGTAGTAAATTCAGGAGGAGGAGGATGCAGGAGGACTATGAATCCTTTATTCATTCAGACTGCTCCAGGAGTCAACTAGGGACTGTCTGTTGTAGAAGGATTAATGTGTTGGAAACCTAATTATGACCGCCGCCAGACTCTGCGAATTGTCCAATTAAGCCTCATGAATCCGTCTCGATTGAGAGATTCGACTCGTTCAAGTTCCCCGACCCTTTTTCACTCATGAACGCGCTGCGGCAAATTTTATGTTTTTGTGTAAACTTCGTCATTTAAACCAGGACATCGGAGTCGCGGAAGAATTAACGTTGCGGATGGCTAATTGTGACGACCTGTTCGTTGTTACTGCCGGCCAATTAGCATTACACACAAGAATCCAAGCGCGGTGAACAAACCTGATTTGAGATCCGCCAAACTTAGCCCCAAGCCGAATCAAATTGTAGCCAAACACGGGATAATTGTAATCGATCGTAATCTGATATATATACTTATAATTGAATTTAATCATATTAATATCTCTTTCATTCCTAATTCAGCGTTTATTTCCCACCTCGTACCGATCTCCTCCCTCTAATCGACTCCATCGTCTATACTCGCATCGTGTTACCAATAGAAGTAAAAGTTCCGGAAACTGATTACCAAGCCCAATTACCAGGTAACTCGGTCAGAAGTTCGGGTTACCATGGGCAAACATCTCGCAGACGAAATCCGGGATAACCGAGTCATAATTTCGAAGGTTGTCTTCGGCATACGAAGAGACGTTCCCGTATCCCGTAAGGGGAGACGTGTTCCTGGTTACGGAAACGTCGGGCAACCACCCTTCTTCAAGGCATAGGGGTAGGAACCGCAGTAGAGAACACCATCAGCCCGTTACTTCTGCAAGACTATAGCTATCCTCTGCGGTCTAGAGTAACTCCATTAGCCATGGCTCGAGACGTTGGCAGAATTCGTAAAACACGTCGCTTGACGTGAAAGTCGAACCAGCATTTCTTCCTGTATCCGGCTACTGGCGAAATCCACGAAAGAAAGCAGATAGCCGAAGAAACAGTGGAACGGAGCAGAATGTCCTAAAACCATCCATCGAATCAGGTAAGCCTTCTAAGAGAGTAACCGGAAATAACGAACTTGGCTAAGGAGACTTTTGCTGACTAACGTTCATGACTCCTCTTTTTTTTCTTCTTTCTTTCCCCTTCATCTGTTCTGCTAAAAGCTACCAGGAGGTTTTGATCGTACCCAGCCAGTCTTCAGGACCTCGAGACCTCCTGAATCTCAGCGAGAATCTCTTCGAAGAAATAAAATCTAAAATAGCCAGACTACGCAGAAACCTACTGCTTCATCCTGCCATCCCGCTCTCGTCTTGCTTCCACTTTAGAGGGACCTCTCAAGACGCCAAGAGAACGCAACGTTGCAACTTTTGACTTACGTAATCAGTAGCCCAGAAGTTCTACCCTTTTCACTCTTACCGTTTTACCCTTTTATTTCTCAGCACCACCTAATCGGAAGTTCTTTACGATTTGAGGTAAAATCAAGCGTGCGTTACTCGGCTAGATTTATGTCTTAAAATTCATAGAGGATATAAAAGTCTTGATGCGAGAAAAATACGTCTCGCTACTTTACCCTTATGCTGGGTTACGTTATCCTGTTATATGATCCGTCTAGTATCATCCTCTCATTCCATTCTAACAAAGTGCAATGGTTCAACGTCCAATTTCCATTTCCGGTTTCAGGGTGCGCCGGGAGTAGTCCACGACACTGCACTAGCCTGACTGACTCTGAGTGACTGTATGTCTGACAATCCATCTGACTACTTGTGGCTGCATCCTTTATACGTATTACTGATAACTCAAACTGCACGAACTGGATCTGAATTCTGAACGGGATCAAAGTACAAGCGCAACGTAACGAAGAACATATAAAAATGGCTGGTGTCAGAAACAAAGCAAAAGGGAAGAGGGATATGGGTGCCTAAGGTCATAACGAAAGAGGGAGGCGTTTGGTAAATGAAATTTGCAAAATTAACGCAATTAACTTGAGCCCCGTGGATTTTGGTGCGTGAAGGCAAACATCGGGCGAACCCTAACCGGACGCCGTTAATTTCTCGTAAGGAGTGTGTACGGACGCCAACGCCGACGCGGAGGGCAGCAGGCATCGGGGTGCGCTCGTTCTCGTTTAGGGCGCTCCAATTAAAATGCTCAGCCGAGTAAGGTTCTCGGGCGTGTTAGTTACATGCGAGGCAATCGTTAAACAAATGGGTCGACGGGTCTCTTAGAATGGATTTTTCAAGGGATATCACACGCCTGAATCTCATCGTTTTCTCATTTTTTATATCCGTACACGTATATACCATTTACCCATGGTCAAGTACGCCCACGTGTGTATACCTCCCTCGTCGTACACGCAGTCATCTAAATTTCATGCTTCGACCGCTGTTTTTTGACTTTAAAAATTTCACCCATTTCTTTCGGCTTTTTACGAGCTGTTCTAAAGGACCGATAGAACTCACGCTAGCCGAAGGAACCGACCTTTTCTCCTGCTTGCGCTTGCTGATATATATCACGATCTTACCTACTGTTCGTTGTTTCTCTCTCTCTCTCTTTCCCTCTCTCTCTCTCTCTCTCTCTCTCTCTCTCTCTCCCTCTCGAGTCTGTGCATACACTTACAATTAGAGTACACTTACCTGCATAGCAGAGGCGCGCTATCTCCCTTAATGGCATATGGCGGAACGTTCACATGGAGTAGCTGTAGAGCGACGACTGGAACAGAAAAATTTGCAAAAAATGCATGAGAATATTTTTCAAAGAGTCGAATGAGTATTAAGTATTTGCTTGGAATATTGGTTTTGCAAATATGTTCATGCAAAATAAATTTTTAAAAATCTGTCAAACGATTTTTAATACAGATTGCCATCTTAGGAATGGAATGCTGTGTTTTTAAATAAATATCAACGTAACTTTTTGGGGATATAAGATAACTTAAGAAATATTTGAACCTTCGTATCAAAGAGCAACTACACAGCCAAGTAAATCTCTGTCGGCGTAATACTTTTATTTCCACGAGCAAGGAATGTGAAAAATTTAAAGCGAAAGGATATATCGAATATTTGCAGAGACGAGAGAAATGGGAAATATAAAATTTCTCGCGATTTTCTCCAGAAACAAATGCCCTAGGTATATCAGCCTAGGTATGATTTTCAGTGTTTCTCGACAACAGGCGATCACACGTGTAGCTTGACATTTATACTAGCTGGCAGTATTGATAACAGCGATACTGGCAGCGACTGGTAATGTACGGGAGTGAAAAATATACGCATAAACGCCGCTTTAAAGGTTAATGCCGATCCGGCGTCGGTAAGAGGAGAGCTGTAAGAAGATTTTCCAGGGCTCGTTTATCGTTGTCCCTCAAGACGTATGCAAGACTCGAGGTCAGAGAGTCAATAGTTTCTCAAGACGTCGAGTCGCGATGTACACGTACGAGCACATATGTCGGATAGAGAGGAAGAGCCTTTAAATCAGCATGAATAAATAAAGTCGGCTCTGCCACCCCGTCGCTCCGGAATCCTCTATCAGTTAAATTATTCAACGTATTTAACTTTCTCAGTACGAATCTCTCTACATCCACCCTGATCCACCCCCTTTTCCTGCACCAGCATCACCCTTGATCACATAGCAACGTTACATCTCTTATACTTCATGCTGGCAGTCAGTACTCGTGAGGACAGTCAGCCATAATTTTTTTTTTTCGTTTCCCACCCCTAAGTCCATTACCCTGAAATTCCATGAACGCGACTGAAAAACTGCTAAAAAATAGTTTAACGATTTCAGGACCTCGGCAAGAATGAAATATGCATTTGCTTCGCGTTGTCTCTACTGCCGGCGTGTCTCCAACGCGCGAATGGATACCTGAGAAATACGAATATGGTTAAGACCATTAGTAATTTCATGTGACGACGAGTATTTTTTTCACGTCCGGATGGAAACGCCATACTCGTCAGTTGGACATCGGCAGGTGACTTCCAGCATGTCTTAAGTAAAGTTGAGAGGGATACCTGCCCGAAGTACAATTGGGTTTCGGTAATGTAAAGCTGCGTCCCCATTCTGATATTTGCGTCTAAGATAAGCGTTTTCAGTCGAGGACCGAGTCCTTGTCTTGCATAGCGTCTCCATTCAGGCTCCCGCGCTTTGGCTCGACTTTGAAATTAATTGCATGGCAGTTTGACTTTGAATGGCCGTCCTAACGCGCTTTCGAACTAAACCCTTAGATAACAGCTTCACGCGCTAGGAGGCTATAGTGTGTGGCCTGGACGAAAAGTGAACGAGTAAGGAAGTTACAAAGCGTTATACCCACCCTTCGTAATATTTTTCAACGTCCAACACGCAACTGCTTTTAATATCAATAATTGACCCAAGCTGAACCCCTTAGCACCCTTTACGTTCACGTGCGTGGGTGTAAGGTGTATGTAGATTTTTTTCCTTCGACCCTTTTCTCTCTGGAAATTCATTCAGACAACTTCAAGTCGTAGGGTCCCGGCTTTGTCAATTACTTATATTAATTTTCGGGGCGAATTCTCATCGTGACAGCCTATAGTGGACGAATGTCACATCTAATGGGTTTATAATAACAGCCCTCATGGTGTATGAGCGGTATAATAGGGCTACTCGACACTAGCCACCCTCTCGTGACGTACCGGTAGCCCCAGGCCAATCGAGTGGGTCGAGGAGGGTAGTCAGTCTGATTTCTCGATTGAATAACACTTATGGAGCAGCTTGAATTCCATCGCGTTTCGCGCGATTAAATTTTTAATGGACACCCTTCAAAATTCCTGCAAGCGAGACATTTCTCCTAGAATCTACGAAGCAGGGGTTGTCTTTTTACGAACAAGCGGGTGATCTTTTAGAAATTTCCTGCGAAAAATTCAATACTTTTTAAACAGCTTTACCCGAATCCTAGCTACAGTGTAGTTTCAAGCAAATTTTTTGCACGACTCGCCAAAATAGTTTTTACGAGGATAGTGGCGATACAGCCGATAAGACTTGGGAAATTTGGAAAAGCACATGCCAATGTCTCTGAATGCGTCAGATGACGTCGGGTGCAATTGTATATTAAAGGGTGCATTGTGTGGATCGTAAAAACATTCAGCAAGGGTGAGAGCTGCGTAACGCGCTAAGTTAGGGCCTGCAGGATGCTGGTCCAGGGGAGCTACGTTTTAATTTTAACTTATCTAAGGGGTAGCATAAATTCGTGGTTGAAACACTGTAACCGTTAAAACTTCATGCATAGAGAATAACGGTACTGAAATATATTTAATTTATACGGCGGTGTTGTGTTAAACGTGGGGACACGGACACACTGGATACCACAGCTGACTCCCTTACCCTCGCGGTAGCAACCAGACAGCCACCCAAACCAGCCAGCCACCCAAGCCAGCCAGCCAACCGGTCAGAGTGTATACCAAGCGAAATTATAAGCAGGCATGTTTCATTTTCATTAATAACTCGCCATTCCCTACCCC